TTTTTTTTTCTTCGATTAAAAGCAATTTTTTTTATCAAAAGCTTTTGTTTTCATGATTTTCTAGAGTTAGAATTTAACAAATGGGAGCAAAATGTCGTCACTGTGGTTGGTGGAAATGGAGAAGGAGAAGGATTAAATCAGCTCAATTACCCTGAAGGAATATTTATCGATGAAAATAAAAATATTTTTATTGCTGATTATTGGAATCATCGTATTGTTGAATGGAAATATAATGCAAACGAAGGACAGATTATTGCAGGTGGAAATGGACAAGGAAATCAAAGGGATCAATTGAATTGTCCAACAGATGTGATAGTTGATCAACAAAATCATTCGATCGTTATTGCTGATTATGGGAACAGACGAGTGATTCATCAATGGCTAAACCAAAATCAACAAATTGTCATTGAGAATATTGACTGTTCTCGTTTGGCAATGGATAAACAAGGATATCTTTATGTTTCTGATTGGGAAAAGAACGAAGTGAGACGATGGAAAATGGGAAATAACAACAAAGGAATTGTAGTGGCAGGTGGAAATGAAAAAGGAAGTCATCTTCATCAACTAAATAATCCTGGTTTTATCTTTGTTGATGAAGAGCAATCTGTTTATGTATCAGATCAAAACAATCATCGTGTGATGAAATGGAGGAAAGATGCAATTGCAGGAACAATTGTGGCTGGAGGAAATGGTCTAGGAATAAATTTCAATCAATTGTCTTATCCTCAGGGGGTCATTGTTGATCATTTGAGACAAGTCTATGTAGCAGATTGGTGGAATAATCGAGTAATGCGTTGGTGTGAAGGAGATAAAGAAGGTGAAGTTGTTGCTGGTGGAAATGGCGAAGAATATCAGTCAAATCGATTGAATGGTCCCCGTGGTTTATCTTTCGATGATGAAGGAAATCTCTATACTGTTGATTGTTACAATTATCGAATTGAAAAATTTGAAATAATTTTGTGAATGAAATGTTGATTTTGAAGAAATAGAAAGGAAATATTTTAATAAGAAAAAAACAAAGAAAAGTGTTTTTGATTATTTTTCTTTAAAATGGAATTAGTTTGTTTTTTGAAATAATACGAAAAATGAATGAAAAAGAGTAATACACAATAAGTACTTTGAGAACGAAAATGATGATAATGATGATAAAAGTGAACATGACAATGCAGTTTGGTGGATAAGAGATTGATATACTATTCATCTGGCACATAAAGCTGTAGATTTTTTATTTTAAATAAAAATAAAATCGATCGTCTACTTTTATCCAACCATCTTAGATATTATATTAGTTTTATAAGTGGAATTTTGTCACAATTAAAATTCAGTCAAATTTCCAATTTGACTAGTCGAAATTGAAATTCTATTTTTGACTAGTCAGAAATGAAGTTTCAATTTCGTCTAATATATTCTCAGTCCACATTGAAATTTCAATTCTGACTAGTCAAATTTGAATTTTGACTATAACATCTATAAAAGCAGATACGAATATATCCATTTCGTATATCAACTTCTATTCAAAGACATGGCAATGACAAATAACAAAACACTATGTTTTATATGTAATGAAGAAAAAATAACATTTAACTGTAAAGGATGTTCAAAAGAATTTTGTTTAACGGATTTAATAGAACATCGTGAAATATTAACTAATGAATTACATTATATCACTTATCAATACAATGAATTTAAACAAACAATTCATGAACAGAAACAAAATCTACAGAATCATTCATTAATAAAACAAATTAATCAATGGGAAATAGCATCGATGGACATAAATCAACAAAAAGCACGAGAGTACAAAGAAATCTTTATTAAATCATCACAAACATATATTAATGATATTGAAATAAAATTTAAAAACTTGAATGAGCAAATCAAACAAATCCAGAAAGAAAATGAATTTAATGAAATTAGTTTAGATTATTTAAGAAATCAATTAATAGAAATTACAAAAGAATTAAATAATCCATCAAAGATTTCTATTAAAGAAGATTTACAATCATTTATTAATAAAATTCCAGTTGTTTTGCCAAAAGGTAAGCTTTTACCAAATAGTTTCTAACTGGATAATTCTCATTTTCTATCAAATTCTTTTAAACAACTATAATACAAAGAAAAAGAATGATAAGATACGAAATAATATTTAAGAAAGATTTTTCTAAATATTCATATTAAAATTCTAAATTAAATTAAATAAAATAATAAAGTCAAACAGATTGTCATCTCTATATAATAAATAGAATAGTAAAAACTAATCCAACGTTTCTTCGTCTCCTTCTTTTTATGAAAATCTTTTGTATTCATCATTTTCTAGAATCAAAATTTAACAAATGGAAACAAAATGCCATCACGGTGGTTGGTGGAAATGGACAAGGACAAGAATTAAATCAACTCGATCGCCCTTATGGGATCTTCATTGATAAAAAGAAAAATATTTTTATTGCTGATTGTTATAATCATCGTATTATTGAATGGAAATATAATACTAAGGAAGGACAAATCATTGCAGGTGGAAATGGGCATGGGGATCGAATGGATCAATTGGATAATCCAATAAATGTGATTGTTGATGAACAAAATCATTCGATCATCATTGCTGATTGTGTGAATAGACGAGTCGTTCAATGGTTCAATCAAAATCAACAAATTCTCATTGATGATATTGACTGTTCTCGTTTGGCAATAGATAAACATGGATATCTTTATGTTTCTGATTGGGAGAAGAATGAAGTGAGAAGATGGAAAATGGGAAAATACAACAACGAAGGAATTGTAGTAGCAGGTGGAAATGGGAAAGGAAATGAACTCAATCAACTCAATGATCCTGATTTTATCTTTGTTGATGAAGATCAATCAGTGTATGTATCAGATGAGAACAATAATCGTGTGATGAAATGGAGAAAAGGTGCAAAAACAGGAAGAATTGTGGCTGGAGGAAACGGTGAAGGAGCAAATTTGAATCAATTGTCTTTTCCTGAAGGAGTCATTGTTGATCATTTGGGTCAAATATATGTAGCAGATTTTCACAATCATCGAGTAATGCGTTGGTGTGAAGGAGATGAAGAAGGTGAAATTGTTGTTGGTGGAAATGGAGATGGCAATGAATCAGATCAATTGAGTGGTCCTTATGGTTTATCTTTTGATGATGAAGGAAATCTTTATGTTGCTGAAGTTTTTAATCATCGAATTCAAAAATTTGAACTAATTTTGTAAATGAAATTTTGTTTTTGAAAAAAACTTTTTTGTTAAATAAAAAGTCGAATAAATAAATGTTGAATTCTTCGTATTTTGTTGAATTTTAGAAAAGAAAAGAACAGAAATATTTTATAAAAACTTTATAAGAGTAATCTAGTTGACCATATATTAAATAGATTTAGGAAAGATCAACAAGTTCTCGATGAATTATTACTATTAACATTTTCACATTCATTGATTTAGACAGATAGATTCGTTTCGTATGCTGGAGACTAAATAATTATTTTAACAAAAGCTAACATCAAAAATCGAAACGAGAAATATAAGGAAGACTACACATATACAGGATGGGTGTGAAAGTATCGTATTCAACTATAGCACGCGCAGCCACATCATCCTTAATGAAACATGTAAATAATAGTAAACTTTTTATTTTATTTAGTCAGAACTACAGAATATAGACAAATGTTATTGATCGAAAAAAGAAACATGCTTTCAGCGAAAGTAAAGTAATATAAATCGCTTATCAATATGTCAATGACACATGTTGATAAATTTCGCAATATTTACTAACGTCATTCGTCATAGAATCGTATGACGTGGAAGAACGAAAAAAACACTATATATATAGTCGTTTGTTCGATTCTGTTATTATCATTCGAAACAAAAAATGACAAGAGATTCTCAATTAAATACCAGTACAAATAATAAACCAATTATAGCACTTGATTGCGACGGTGTTCTTTTGGATTATCAAAAACAATATGCTCAAATATATGAAAAAACATTTGGAAAGCAATTAACAGTTGTTTCACCGAAGTCTTATCTTGTAAGTTCATTATTTATTATTAAATATATTTATAGTTGTGTATTCTCTAGGCTGAAACAACGTATGGAGTTAAATTGAATGATGAAGAAGAAGTTCAGTTTAAAGAAAAATGGAATACCCATGGTTGGAGAACAATGCCAATGGAAGATGGATCACTTGAAGCATGTCATTTATTACATGAAGCTGGTTATGAATTAGTTTGTGTTACAGCAATGTCTGATCGTTTTATTGAACATCGTTTAGAAAATTTCCGATTACATGGTTATCCTATTGATAGAATTATTAGTACTGGTGGTTCTGGTAGACATAATCATCATAATAATCCTAAAAGAGAAATTATTGAAGAATTACATCCTGTTGTTTTTGTTGATGATTTAAGAAGAAATTTTAAAGATATTCAAGGTGTTCATACAAAATTTGTTTTTATTGATCGTGACATTCATGATGATCCCAATCGAAATGATCAAATCTATTATGATGTAAAATATCCAAGTCTTTTACATTTTGTTGAAGATTTTCTTAAAACAGAACAACATGGAAAAAATATTATTTGGCCAGAAAGACCATCATCTCTTCTTCCTTCTATCTCATCTTAATCTTTGTGTGTTTAAAAATAAAAGATCAAAAATTTAAATTGAATAGACTATTCAACTTCGTATAAAGTTATAGAAGATGTATTCTTAGAGAAGTTTTTAATTGATATAAAGATAAGACTTCTATACGTATCCTCCCACACCCTTAGTGAGACAGGCCTGTGATAGTTCCTGAATTTTGTTAGAACTTCCACCTTTGGTCTAGGAATTTAATTATTGAGAAAGTGGGTGGAAACGTGTATCTTCTGTCAACTCACCCAAACCCCCCCTCCTTCTGTGAGTTTCAATTTCAATCTTATGGATAACTTAACTATGATCAGTTTATTTTAACGAACGAATGCTAATCACAAATTTTATATAAGACTACTTGTGAACCTGATGAGTTCCTTTTCTTAAGAACAGAATAAAGGAATCGGATTGTTTCAAAAGAGCTTGATCTAATGTGTATAGGAAGTAAGCAGAGATACACCCAATAATTATAAAATAAGATAATCAATCGATTTTTGTGGTAATCGAAAATGTTTTACACCGTATTTTCATATACGATCTTGTTTGTATAAATAGCTATTTATCGTATATACTAAATATTTTATTTTATTATAATGAAAAAGAAGAAAAAGGATGTGTACACAATAGATTTTTTATGTTGGTATAAAATTTGGATATTGTTGTAAATCTGCTGATGTTCGTTGTCGTTTTTTTCTTTGATAATGTGCATAAATAAAACAAATAATTATAATTATTAGTAAACATGATAAAAAAATAAAAAATGGTAATAAATGTTTTTTCATTTTTGTTATGAAATGTCCATTATGACATCCACCATCTAATTCTGTTTGAAAACATTTAAGCCAAAAATAATACATTGAATCATAATAATTATGTTCATTATGTATATTATTTAACTGAAAAAACATATAATTATGTTCATTATTTGTATAAGATTTCCATTGAATTTTAGTATCTCTTATTAATGATGAATTTTTATTTGGATTTCTAATTTAAAACAAATTAATATATAGTAAAATATTCAAATTTTTACAAAGAAACTAACCCAGTTTTTATAAAATTTGTCCAATAACGAATTATTTCTCGACTAAAATTGTCTTCATCATTCGAATAATTATAATAACTCATATTAACATTTCGATGAATTCGACGATAATCACGTGCCAATGGAACACCGAAAACATAATCTAAATATTATGTTTAGTCATCAGTAAATTCGATACTAAATATTTACCTAATTCAGCAAAATGTCCAACAACATGTGGTAATAATTTTAAATGATCTCGAAATAAACTTCGTGCTTTAAATGTTGGTCGATGAGAATAAATATATGCATAATTTGATGATGTTTTATTTAATAGTTGTGTACGTAAATTTAAACAATGAACCATATGAAAATTAAACATTAAATCAGAAACAAGATCAATATAAAGTTTTAATCGTATAGTCATATTATTTTGTCCTAGAAGAATAATTTTTATTATTTATTTATTGATTCATTCATTCATTTTCTCATACCTGGATATTCATATCTTTTTTTAATTTCATCAATATGACATTTACCATACTGAAAATTAGCATCTATATAACGTTCAACATAATTTAATTTTGAAAATTGTTCAAGAACAACTTTTGGATCATAACTTAATGATTGTTCAACATGTGTTCTTTCTTCAGACCCTAATTCTTCAATATCAGCTTCATCACCATCATCAAACTCATAATCATCTTCTTCATTTTGTTTATCACGTGTTATAATTATATCGGGAGGTATAACAGTTGCTGGATTACGTTGAATTAAACGTTTTTGTCTTGTAGAAGGACGTTTACCAATTGATGTTGATTGATTACTCATATCACTATAAAAATTTCCAATATGATATTCAGCAAAATATAAACCTTCATTTAATGTAACACCTGTTAGAAAATCAATATTTTGATATGCATCAGTTTGTATAAGATTTTCAATTGTATCATTTAAAAAATCATTATCAATCACAGGATATGGATTATCATCAGCTATACTAAGACTTAAATGAAGACGATAAAAATCTCCATTACTATCTTCTAATAATTTATGAATACATTCAAACATTTCGGTTTCATTTGATCGTTGACATTTAAATTCTTTTGATAAACGTTCGATTAATTTCATTGGTTGACGATTTATACTCCATGGTGCTAAACCAGTACCTGATTGAGATATAATACGTTTAATCATACCATGACAATATCGACTAGCTGGAATTAACATAACATTTCCAGCACCAGCTGAATGACCAGCTAATGTAATACGTTTTGGATCACCACCAAATAAATGTGCATTTTCATAGATCCATTCAACCGCTAATAATTGATCCCATAGACCATAATTACCTTTGATTCGCTCATCTCCACTTGATAAAAATCCATGATAATTCAAACGAAAATTCATTGTTATAACAATAATATCACCTTCACTTGCTAATATACTTCCATCAAATAATGATCCACCACCAATTTGATTTGATCCACCATGAAGAAATACCATAATAGCTTTATGTGATTCTCCATAACGTAAATCAGCTCGATAGATATTTAATGAAAGACAATTATCATGAAAATTATGTTCCATAACAAATGATCCATATGAAAGATTTTCTGTCATTAATAATGATTGCATACAATATGGACTAAATTTTGTTGCATTTTGTATTGAATAATTAAAATATTTTTTAACTGGTTTTTCAAGTGATCGAGGTAATTCAGCATAATAAATACCAAGAAATTGATCAATATATCGATTATTACGATATTTTATTCGTTTACCAGAATAAATACCTGTTGAAGCAATAAGATAGGGTCGTTGATAACCTTTTGTTTTATGATAAATTTTATCATAAGATGATAATTTTAATAAATATTCATCAGTTAAATTTACTTTAGAAAAATTTGCTTGTGTAAAAGTTTTTTTACATGTTGATTCTGTACATTGTGGTAATGTTGAATTAAATATTAATTGACCAACAATACGTTCAAATGATGGATAAAGAATTACAGGAGGAGAAGAAGTAGAACATACGAAATTATTATGAAATATAAGAATAATAAAAAAATACAAAACAAAATTGATTATATCATCAGACATTACGATAAATTTCTTTTTTCCAGGTTAATATGTTTTAACTAAAGTACAATCTTTCATTTATGAAAAGAAATAAATGTATACAAGAACGAGAATAATAATGCCATAAGTATATATTAGTTCTAAAAATGTCTTAATTCATTTTTAATTCTGTAAATAATTGATTATTCAGACTGGTTATACGAGTGAACACCTATAAACATACAGAGATTGACTGAGGTAATAATACTGAAATAGACGACAAATCCATTAGGCATAAGTTTAGGAAGAGAAGAAAAAAAGAAATAGAGAGAAAAGAAAAGAAACAAATAAGAAGAAAATCTGTTATTCTATTAAGATAAGACCTATTATTCTTACTATGTGTAAAACAACATAGAAATGCACGCTACTCTATTGACAAAAAAAAAGATATTCTACGCTTTTATAAAATTTATATTAAGAAAAAAAGACGCAAAAAAGAATACCATGCGTAAAAACAACAAAATAGTCTAGAATATACTGACACCTGATAATAATCTAGTTTATCATGCAAGCGACAAAAACAGATTGACAAGTTTCTTCTTTTTTCTTTTATCTATATAAGATAATTTCTGAGGTATCTTTTTTTTTGCTTAATTCTGACAACCAACTATGCACTCATGCTTTACATACCACTTAAAATACTAACTGACAAATCTGGTATGTACATTGATAAAATTAACGAACAAACAAACCTGGCAGCTTATCAGACAAAATTTACATAGTTGTCTTAAATAAATAATATTCATGATCATGTACGTTGTATATATATATAAGTTTTCATTCCATTTAAACATAAGAAACCTACTAATATACATACATATATGTATATATTCATTGGATAGTTTCATTGTCAATATATCGCATTTATTTATTTTTAAATATCATCATTATCTCCGAAAAGAAGAAGAAAAAAAAAGAAAAAAAACCTTTTTTGGAATAAATATTTAGGATACCTTTTTTTTACACACGTAAAGACAACAGAAAAAAAAAGAAAAAAATTTAATCAAACAACACTGAAATATACCTACAGGGCTGTACATCGAATGATTATATATATATATATATTTATAGAATAAAGAAAAAAAAAATGCAACAAAAAAATTAGCTTTTTTTTCAATTCAAGTTTGATGCTGTCGGCTCAGATGGTAGTGCAGAGCACTATTAAAAATAGAATAATTTTATTTCGAAATTTAATTTTTTTTCTATAATTTACCTCCGTAAGAAATTTTCGTATTTGAGCTGTATAATCATGCGAAAGCCATGTTGTATTATGCTGACCATCGGGAAATATAACCAATTGCTTTTTTGAACTTTTACATTCCTAAAAATACACAATAATTAATAGAATAGATAATTATATATCTCGATAAGATCTTATAATAAATAAATCAAGTATTGGTATTCACAGAAAGGGCAAGTCTTTTAGTAAATAATGTATTCAACGTATCATTGAAGATAATAGGAATTAATCGAGGGTTTATTCTTATGAGATAATATGTTAATAATCAGTTAGAAATAACTTAAACTACTAGAGTTAATGACTTCCATTTATAATTGTCTTAAGTAGTTTCTTTTTCCCACAGATGATATAACTGTTTTATATCATACTGATGTTTGTTTGTTTTTTTTTCTTCATATAAATGAATTAATTATAACTGACAAACCTCGTGTAATTTTTCCATCATTGGTGGAGGTACTAATTCATCTTGTCCGCCGGATAGAAAGAGTACAGGACATTTAATATGACGAATTTTTGTTAGTGAGGGAAACTATATAGAAAATCAAGATATGTAAATATGTTTGAGAAATTCGAATATCTATACTAGATTTTTATAGCACCAATTAGGTACATAATCGAGTACAGCAACTGCAAATAGTCTTTTAGCCATATCAGGAATTGATGTAAAAGTATTTTCAACAATAACACTATGTAATGGTGGTGTTGCATTTATTTGAGCTAGATGAGATGCTAAATAATATTAATGTAGATAGTATTTAGATAAAAATTTGTGAATAAAATTTTTTACCAAGATGCAATGCTACAGCACCACCAAGTGATCGACCAAATAGAAATATTTTTTCTTGATTAAGATCATTACGTTTACGTACATAATCATGAACAGCTAAGGCGTCTGTATAAAGACCTGTTTCAGATGGTGCACCAGTAGATTTTCCATATCCACGATAATCGAAGAGGAGAATATTGATATTGCATGCACGATATAAAAGATGAGCATTTTGTAAACTAAATTATATCATGCGGTCAAAAAATCTGATTCACTATCTATTGCGTTTCTGTGCTTACCGGTGTCCAATATTTCCTGCATTTCCATGAAAAAATATTAATGTTTCACGTTCATTTGTTCGATTGATTTGTTTGATTAGAAATCCGTGTAATTTTTCATTGTCAGGTGTTTCAATTGTTATCGTTTCATATGGCATATGAAATACGTCAGGTGTTTGAACAATTGTTCGTGCTGTATCTGGTTCATTTGGTTGAAAGAGTAGAGCATCTTGAAAACCATAGAGTGAAGCTAAAAGAATTAAATTTAAATAAATTTCGATTTTCTTTTAAGTTCATACTTATTTGTTGTTGAGCATTCGTAAAAAAATTATTTATCGATTGCATCAAGGTCATTCAATGTAAAAATAAAATAAAAGTAATCTAGAAATAAATTATTTCATCAAGAATAAAAGAAAATGACAGAAATTTGTTGTATTATCTTAATTGCATCCGAAAAAAAAGAAAATGATTATATACAATCCCATAAACAAATAAACAGAAAAGAAAAAAATACGTATTTTTCTTAGATTAATAAATATATTGTTCAAGCACGTTGTGGTCGTTCAGGAATTAATGACGAGAAAAATGTCGATACTGCTGTAAATAACAGACGCGCTGTGGTTATTTGATTCTCGACAATAGGCGCCGGTGGAGATGGAGTCTGCTAAAAATAACGAAAGAAATCAATGAATTTTTACTCATTCTGTTTCATTTTTTATTGTAAGATAGATAGTTATCTGTACATACACGTGGACGTTGAATATCATTCTGGTTTTGAGCTTCATTTCCTGCTTGTTCACCTTCCGCTTCATCTTCACCGACGTGCTCTTCATTATTTTCAGCAGGTTGCTCAGGTACCACAGGTATTGGTTGCACTTGAACACGACGTCTTCTCTGAATAGATAAATAACCACGACAATGTCTAGACAATTAAAAAATATTATCGTATATATGAAAAAACAATACGAATAAAACTTACAAATAGAGAAGAGCAAAAATAACAAAAACAACCAAAAATCGACTGAATGTTGAGTAAAAATAGATAATCGAGCATAGAACAAATAATTCCACTAACATATTTAATATTCCCAACAAGTCATTCTCTGGTTCTAATTCATTATTATTATTTCCGGCTGCTGCTGGCTGTGGTGCTGCTGCCGCCGCTGCTGCCGCCGGTGGAGGAACAGTAGTAGTTGTAGTACTAGCCGGTTGTTGCATTGTATTGGTAACTATTGTTGGTGGAGTCACAACTGTTCTTTGATAAGCATGTAAATTTTGACTAAATTACAAAACGTATATCTAAATATATACATATTATATTTCTACTTACTACATTTGATAATGTGTATAACAATATTCTAAATAAGCTTGAGTATTATAATTAGATACTGGTAAACATCCATTTGGATTTATTAAATATCTAGATAAAAATCATTAGTTATTTATTAATTCGAAGAATTCAAAAATACTGTTGAAGTTGTTGCTGATATTTATTTAATTCATCTAAATACTGATCATAAGTTGCTGAATGTGTAGAAGAAATTGGTCTTTCTTGTGGTATAGGTACTTCAGTAACAGTAGGTGTTAATGGTACTGTTGTTGTCGTTGGTTTTGATTGAGGTACTTTTGGTGTCTGAAATAAAAATAATTTTAATTGAACGATGACATCTGTGTTTGATGACTCACTGTTGCAGTTTTGTCAGCATCGAGAACAAGATGAATCATAAATGATGATCCTGATGATGACTAAAAAAAAATTTTTTTAAAGTACAAAACTATCTAATACTCAAAAGTCAAATCGTCTGTATGTCTGGAAAACAAGTAACATGATACTTATAATTATCACAAGGAGTCAGTTGTCAATTTCTCCATTTTCTTTCATCAATCTTAATATTCTTTTTTTTTATTAAGTCTCTCCAATCGATTTATAAGATCTAATTTCAATGTGATTGATAACACAAAAAATATCTTTTAAATTTTCTTGGATAAATATTTATATTCTACTCACTTTAATAAATATTTGACTAAGTAAACTTGTATCATCGAGAAGTTTACCAGAAAAAATTAAGCGTTGATCTTTAGGTATCTAGAAATTTGATTAATAGAGAAAAATAATTCTATTTAAATCAAATCCATTTTTCTTACTGGTTTAGTTGGATGATTCAATGTAATTTGTTGTTTTAGATCATATATAGTCGATAATGATGAAAGTTCAAGATCAAAATCTTCTGATTTACTATTCGCTGTACGAATAATTAATTTAATTGTTTCATTATTTGTAGCCATAAGAAAATGAAGTATATCTTTTTCTCTATCGAAAATTACAGAGGAATAAACATTGCGCACATATATTCCACATCCACACACACAGGTGTTTGATTTTCTATTGATGATTTTTTCAACCAATCAGAAAATGATTAGAAAAAGTTTTCTAGAGGTCATTTACATCGCTAAATATATATGACTCATTTAATAAAAAAAAAACTATAGATAAACTATACTATACTATCCTTCTCCTTTTTTTTTTCGTTTCCTTCGTTCTATGTATTGATAATAAAAGATCAAAGGATTGTATCTGGGTCATACTCTTTATATGTTGTCTTTTTTTTTCTCACAACAAAATTTCTCTTTTTTTTCTTCTTTTCTGTCTTTTTTTTCGCAATGATAATAGACAGCGACAAAAGAACATCGTGACATTGACAAGAACAAGATCTCGATGTCAGGGAGTGGCTTATTTTTTCAATAGAAAGGCAATATTCTTAGAAACATAGAACTCCTATAATTAATATTTCGTTTATTTAGATGAATCGTATGAGAAAAATTGTTAGTAAAAAAAAAAGAAGGTATCAACAAGATGGTTTTGATCTTGATTTATCATGTAAATATTATGAATTATTTTCAAAATAAAATAATTATTCTGACTTTTTTTTTCTATTATTAGATATTCGACCTAATGTTATTGCAATGGGATATCCAGCTGATAGTTATGAAGGAGTTTATAGAAATAATATTGGCGATGTTAGTCGGTATGAATTTTTAAATATTTTTTTTTGTTTCTAAAAATAATTTCCATTTCTTTTTTATTCCCTTTAGATTTTTATCATCTAAACATGGAGATAAATTTTATATATATAATTTGTAAGCTATTTTTTGAATAGAAAATGAAAAAGAAATATTTTTTTGCTTGTTTTTTTTCTCTTCTTATTATATAGATGTGTTGAAAGTGAACGTCATTATGATGGATCACGTTTTAATAATAATGTTTGTACAGACTTTAGTTTTGAAGATCATAATCCACCTACAATCAAAATGGTTTTGGCTTTTTGTCAACATGCTGAAACACAATTAAGTTTAATCACTGATAGAACACTTGTGATACATTGTAAAGCAGGAAAAGTAAGTTACTTTGTATTAGATTTATTAATTTTTATATATAAATATTTATTTAGGGTCGAACCGGTGTTATGTCTTGTTGTTTTCTACTTTATTATTATCGTGATGAATATAATGATCCATTACAAACATTAAAATTCTATGCTCAACAAAGAACGTCGAATGAAAAAGGTGTTACAATACCTAGTCAACGTCGATATGTCGAATACTTTGGACATTTACTTAATAGTCAAGTTCTATATTCACCTAAACAAATTGTTTTTACCGGTTTATTAATAACATATAAACAAAATCAAATACGAAATACAAGTAAATTGATTATACCTTTTTTTTGCTGTCAAATAAATATTTTTTTTCTTAGGTCTCTATTATACAGTTAGTTCATCGGATCATCGTATACAATATCAATCATCTGAAATTCCACTTGAATATGATACAACTATAAATCGAGATTCATTAGTAGATTATTCAGTATTAAATGCAGAACATAAACATTTTATTCCACCAGCAAATCAACAATGTCAAATACTATTAGAAGAAGATGTTTTAATTGAAATTTTTTTTACAAAAACAAAACGAGGAAAATCAGTAATTAATTTTGAAAACCAACAAATTTATTTAATTAAAAATATAAATTTTCTTTTTTTTTAATTTAGGAAAAATTATGTCATTTTTGGTTTAATACATTTTTTCTTGTTGATCCTAACATGCAAAATATATTAAGTGTTTATACAGAAAAGTATCCAGAAAGTAATCTAGGTGTACTTAGTGCATGTCTTATACCTGAATATGGTCACAAACATTTATATACGATGATTAAAAAAGATATTGATGGTTTTCACAAAGATAAATTACATCGATTAGCACCATCATCATTTACAGTAAGTTTACATAAAATCGTCTTTAAACTGATCAATGTCTAGTTATAATTTTCTATTAGGTATCTGTGCTATTCGATTATGTTCCTACACCTTCTTCAACACTTCCACAATCTGAACAATCTACGATATTAACTGAGACAAAAGCCAATACAAATTTAAAAATAATCGAATCAGGCGATCAATCATCACTTATAATTGGCCCATCAGATAAGCTAATTGGTAAAGATGAACTAACACAAAATAATCGTTTAAATCAAACAAATGATAAATTAACAGTACCAAATGATATTCTAAATTTCCATGGATCTAAACGTCGTAGTCCTCGACCAGTATCTTATAATGCACGTACATTTTCTCTTTATACAAATGGTGTGTCTGATTGGGATAGTACGGATTCAGAATCAGGTATTAATGAAACAAATGGTAATTACGGTGAAGCAGAAACTTGTCAAACTCATTTTTAATTCTATTATGTGTTTTTTTTCCTCTCTTCGGTGTATTTTCTCATTACAATTGTACTGCACATATTATTTAAAAAAACAAATAAGGAGTTTTTTTTAATGTCGAATCTCATTGTATGAGTCTATTTTTTTTTAAAAGAGAAAGATGAAAATCAATAAATCATGGAAATATTTAATTAATTTCCTCGAAGTTATTGATTGATAAATTTTATTCAACTATATATCTAAGAATATCAAATGCTACTTTAAAAATCATTATGTACATATCAAAATGAATTAGATCATTTATACGCATCATATTTACTATAAAGTTATTATTATGCAAAAAAAACTTATAAACATACAGACATGTTATTTTTTGATGATAGTCAGGACTCTCGATTGTTTTTAAGAGCTTAGTATTCGCATCTATTTGTGACCTCAAAAAGCATTTTTGAAATTGTTTTTACACTTAAATTTCATCATATGATTAAACAGTAATGACTATATTCTAGCACGTCGAAAACTTAAGGGTAGTTATGGGTATTTTTGTTACAGTTTCACCTACACACACCCACACCCTCGTAGTCATATTTTAGTCAGACAAGTCATTCACGGTTCGTTTACACTCACAAATATGTCGCTTGCGATCGTTACAATGATGCACCTGAGTATGTATATATCGTCATTTATTGAAGGTGTGAGTGTTGATAAGGATTGACTGCTTTATTCATGATAAAAACACCAACACTCTTTCATCCTAGAAAAAATTATATCTCTCATAGGATTATGCTTCCATAACAAAATATCTGAAAAGCTAGTGTTCTGTTGTCAAAATACTGACATATAAAAAAATCTTGGATAGAAAATCTAGTGTGAAACCCATACGTTTCAATTTACCTCATCTATCTACTTGTAGCAGGATTCGTTCTATCAATTGAGATGCCTTTCAACTGTCTTAACCCTTTCGTTACAAAATCATTTTCTCTAAATTGAAACCCAGTAAATCCTTAAACTAACTGTTTTAAAGATAGGGACTAGGGACGGATTCAGTGGAAGTGATGAAGTGATCGATAAGGACGTATGTAAAAGTAATTCGTCTATTTTCGGATGTGATATATGAAATATATGTAATATTGAATTTTGTTATACTTGCACGGAAATTTTAGCTGCTGACGTTTATTAGTTGTAAAGCTTATCAAATGTTTTTATGAAATAACAAAAAACAACTTTGAAGACATGAGTGTGAAGGTCGAAGAAGAAAAGAATGGAAGGTAAATACCACAGAATTTTCCTAGAATATCCTGTTTCAACTGCTTTGAAGAGATCGCACACCGATTTTTGTGAATATTACTATATAAAAAATAATTAAAAATAGGTGTAGCTTTTTTTATATTATCGTAACGAAAGAATTAAACAGCTTATTGGGTGATCGTTCTTTTTCTTACCCAACAAAGAGAAACTTTACCTTATTCAGACACAATAATTATATATCGTGAAGGTCTTTTTTCTATAATACAAATCTATTGATATCTATTATTTATATTATCGATGAATGTTAACACTCATTTATGACTCAACAAAATCAAAGTTTATCTGTACGCGCGCGCATTTAAAATAATTCTTTTCTAATTTAAAAGGTTTATTCTCTTTCACAAAATAAAATTCACAGCAATACAATTTATCACTTGGTTTTTACATCTTCCAAGTTATTTCTATACATTTGAAGATTAGGATGATTTGAAGGTAATGATTGTTCTCCAATTTGTACAGCACGTTCATAAAATGTACGGGCTTTAGAGTAATTACCCATGTTTTCGTACATTGTACCAATGTTGTTGTAGGAAACAGCCAAAGTAGGATGATTCGGACGAAGTGACTGTTGATGAATTTCAAGGGTTTTCTCAAAATAAGAAAGTGCTTTGGGATTATTACCCATATCGGCATGCACATTACCAATGTTGTTGTAGGAAGCAGCCAAATCGGGATGATTAGATGGAAGTGATTGTTGTTGAATTTCAAGGGTTTTTTCATAATAAGAAAGTGCTTTTGGATAATTATCCATGTTGTAATGCACATTACCAATATTACCGTAGGAAGAGGCCAAATCAGGATGATTGGGAGGAAGTGATTGTTGTTGAATTTCAAGGGCTTTTTCATAATAAGAAAGTGCTTTCGGATAATTGCCCATACTGCACTGCACTAACCCAATATTGTTGTAGGAAGAAGCCAAATCAGGATGATTGGGTGGAAGTGATTGCTGTTTAATTTCAAGAGCTTTTTCATGAGATGAAAGTGCTTTCGGATAGTTACCCATGCTATTATGCACATTACCAATGTTGTTGTGGGATATCGCCAAATCAGGATGATTGGGAGGAAGAGTTTTTAGATAGATAGCAACTGATTGTTCATAGAATGCAAGTGCCTCTTGATATTTTCCTTGACCATCTTTGGTTAAACCAAGTCGATGATAAACAGGTGCCTTTTCTCTGTCATTTCTTGTTTGATCAAGTAAAACTTGATAAATGTTTTCAGCCTTGTCAAATTGACCCATTTTCAATAGTACCAAACCCAATCGGTACCATCCTTTGTTGTTTGGAAAACTCTCTTGTCGAATGTAATCAGTAAGTCTGCTTAATTCTGGATCGTTGTCAGCAGTCAATACCAAATTAACTTCATATAAACGATTATTTTCACCCATTTGTTTAATATCCTGTATACGAAACACGCTATGCATCGAAAATAAGACTTCCTCTTCCTTCTGGAAGTCACTGATATCAGCAATTGAAGCAAATGGTGTTGTTGATAGAGCAGGATTGACGTCCATGATAAAAAGTACACCAACTTGATCTGGATTTCTTTCAGCATCTTGAGCAAAATCTAGTGAAACTTTGCGAATCGTACTGGTAGATAAGAAATTATTGAATGAAATAAGACCACCTTTAATTTTGCTCATTTGTTCAAAATCTCTTGCAGATAAACCTTGCCCACGATAAACGGTGAAGGTGTTAGCAGCAGTTGTACCAGCATATTGTTCCTTGTGCAATTGTTCAATCTGTCGATGTAGATCACGGATGAAGAAACCCATACGTGTAATGATATCACCATCCATCAATCGTAATGCACGATTGAGCATGGGATAGAGGAATATTTGGCAAGTGTACCAATAAACTGGTGTTTTCTTGTGATATTGGCTTTCTAATTGTTTAATATTAACCATTTCTTCTTCATTGTCGGCAAAAGCATCACGACAGTAATCAAAATAATCTTGGATGTGGTTTTGTTTAAATGTGATGGTTAATATAATTTCTTTGATGATCTGAGTGTACATAAAAGAAGAGTCTAATTGATCCAACTTTTTATTTGTTCCCACAAAACTCATGGGAATAGCATTCTGCTCACATTGATGAGCAGCTTCCTTGAGTGCTTCACAGATGGGTGTAATATCTGTGAAGACACCCTTTATTTTGGGCCAATCTTTAGTCCATTGTTCATGATATTTTTTATTACCACAAAAAATAAATATCGAATCAAGTTGAGACATATTGTGCACACGAGGCACTATCTGTTGTCCAAGTGACCCAGATATAATCATGCATACCTTGTTATCGACGACTGTTTGAATAAATTCGAGACATTGATTACCATTTGTATATGTCTTGATGTCGTTAACAGCACATCGTAATTTTGTGATTGTATTTTGACAATCATTATTTGATTCATTAATGTTACTGTCTAACCAGATTAGAAGAACATTTTGCATTTGTTGGATATTGATACGTCGACGACCTTCTGCATCTTTTGGAACTGTAGATGCATTTTTTGTTGATTTTTCTTCGTTCATTGTATATTGCGTGAATGGTTTGAATTGGAATTGCTGTGTAAATTTTACTACTACGAAGTAATGATGAAAAACGATTCTTTTTATAGGTATCTACTTCCTTGCGAAACGTTGTTTTTTTCTTTAACTATTTTTTGATGTTGCTATGAAAAATAAACATCGAAATAATCAGCGAAAAAGAATGACTTTATTTGGTTTCACTACGAACAGCATTGTTGAGTCATTTTTGTTAATTGAGAATCGGGGGTTGGAAGAAGCTTGTTTGTATAATCAAATATTTGATGAATTACACAAGTTGACAACATGTTTGTTGATGGCAGGAATTTGTGTTTTAAAAAAGCGCGTTCGTCATCAAATGAACGAAAAAAGACTTGGTTATGCATCGTTTTCTATCTTGCATTAATTATAAATTTTAAATAAGTATGAATGATAGTCATTATAATAATTCTTGATCTGTATACAATTGTAGAAATATATCACTACTTTTTCAATAAATTAAAAACTACAGTGCAATGAAATTTTTTCTTGTGAAACTAGATGATCGAAAACAATCTCAGTTTTGTTTTCTTTGCGATGATGCAATAATAAATGCCATAAAATATGAAGCAAAATATAAAAGAAAAGTTTACAATAATTTGAACTGATTTAATGACAACACAAATTATAATAAAGAATATTTTATTTCTGAACAGTTTTTATATACAAGTGGGATTTTCTTTGAAGATAAAATATTAGTAGGCTGCATGTGATTACATTGGAGTAAACTTAACGATAAAGAAAAAGGTACACTCGTAATGAACAAACGAAAGAAAACCTTATCATGTATTTTATTTTACAAGTGAATTGTAAATTTCAATTACATCTGATGATGACTCCATGATAAAGATACACCATATATCCATTGTTTCATCCTTTTTGTCCATGCTTTACGTAGATGAGCACACCTTCAAAGATGTTTCAAAGATATAAACACTTTTCTTGTTGTCAAAAAGGAAAAAATGTATGTATGTTGCTTACAAAACATAAAATCTTGAGAGTGGGTGTGTGTATGGACGTATGAGGCTTGAATAATATACTTATTTCTAACACCCATACCCACTCGTTGTCACTAAATATCGAATAAACTCTTGACAGATTAATGTGAGTTTAATTTTTCCAACAATGAATATCAATAGATTACTTATAATAAAAAACCTAGAATGAAAAACATTTAACAAACATACCATTAAATTCCAAAATATATTTATCAGGAGATGCAGAATTTCAATTAAAATGTTATGACATGACAGAATTTCAATGGTTAGTATATCAACGAAAAAAAAGATTAGTTAAAGCTCTTCATATTTATCTTATATAAGAAATGTTCAAAGGCATTAAAATCAAATGACATTGAAGTTGATTCATATGTTCATACTTTAATTGATAAATTCTTTTATTATACTACTACATGCCTTCTTTGATTCATGATGAAGAAGAATATTATTTTTTTGCGATTGTAATTTATTTGTAGACATGAAAAAATAATTGTTTAATATGATATATACAAGAAACTTTTTTTATTGATAACAAGTTTGTAACAGAAATTCATCTTTATGAAAATTAGAGCATAATATAGTATAAGTGCACAGTGAGGAGCCAGGCGAACACGTATGAAAACACTCTTTTCCCGAATCTAATCATTTGTGTAGATACATGTTTATGTGATCTATCATACCCTAAAATAGTGATTCTCAAAGTCTTAGAGAGCTCAAGCGAAGAGTCTTCCAAGGCTTGGGCCTAGAAATTGTCATAAATAAATAAAATCAAGTCGTTCGGTAATATAACACAAGATTCCATATGCAAACAATATCACAAAAAACTTGTTTACCTATCTACTAGTCAAATGTTTTGGAAAAAGTTATTTTTCTAAAATCCTTTTAATTTCGTAAAAAGATCTTTCTGAACGGTATGCTAGCAGTTCAAGTCAATTTAAAGGTAGCCCTAAGCAAAAGAAAAAAAGGATATCCGCCTGCTTATACGAAAGTTCTCAACCGTGAAGTGTTCGTAGAAATATGTATGATCAGAGAAACAAAAAAATCTAATCACGAAAAACTAAATAATCAGTAAAAAAACAAGATAATTTATAATCATCAGCAAACTTATTTGTCCAGTAAATGGTTCTGAAATTGAATATGTATGTTGTCAAGCAATTGATTTATCACCATTCGTATCCGCATTCTAGAAAATAATCAACAAAAATAAATAAATAAATGATGATATTCTTTTGATCAGTGAGGATATCTACATTAGTATGGTCCTGATATGAAAGAAATCTCAAAGAAGCCTGTTGTCTTTTATCATTTTTAGCATAGACAAAATGTATACAATTAAAATTCATAAGCTAATTGAGCTAACTTTTTCTAAAATCTATAAAAGTATCTTACTGACTAATTGCTTCCATGATTTCTATAAAACCTTATCCTGCTTCTTCTATATCATAAGCAAGATCCATTTCTTCTTCAGTCTCGCATTTAATTTCATCAAATACGACCGCATTTTCGATATCATCAACATTAAATGGAAATTTCTCTTCACCTCTCATACACATTGTAAATGAGTCATAACATTGTTTAAGCATCTCTTCGTGTGTTTCGGCTTGAAAAAAACCAGTAAGTTTAAAGGATTTATCGTAATAACTGCCATAATAATAACCACCCTCATCAATATTACATATAATAGGAATATGATATTTATTACCTATTGACGAGATTTTTTTCATATCAAGATCATCAGTAGATGACATGATAAACGTGATGATAATTAAAAAAAGGACAAAAAGATGAACGTATTATTGATTCACATGATACGATTACGACGACGACCAATTAAGGTAATAAAATGTATTACTAACTAATTTTTTTGTATTATAATCAATAAAATATTTGAAAGACTATTGAATTATAAAGAAATATATATGGAATAGATGGCGTAATGTATTGATATATCATTATAATCATTGACTAGAAGAAAAAAATTTAAAACACATAACAACAACTTCGAATAATTTAGAAAAAACATTTTAGAAATTCTTAAGGCTCCCCCCCCCCACCCTAATATCTATTTTCGCTTCTGAACATCCAATCTTGCTGAAATTTTCAGGGGAGTTGTGTCCCATGATAGGTATCTCACAGTAAAAATTTCAGCTCAAAATCTTGAGTCTAGCAAGTTTTACCTGTAGATTACTGATCTGAGGGTATAAATATCTGCTCTTTCTATTCATTCTCACATCCACACTCAAATTTAATTTTAAAGATAAAGTTAATTTTTTAGAAACGCTTTATTTCAATATGAACAACAAAAACAATTAAAGCCAAATTTGACAACAAGAAAAGCGGACTTTCAATTTTTTACATTAAAGGTTCAGACTAATAAATTAAATTGAATATAATTGAGAGTATCATTGTCTCATCATTCTCATAAATCGTTGTCGCCAAGTGATAAGCGATTGTTTAAATTGTTTCTTGTAAAAACTCGATGGTAGAACAAATATAACAAAGATGAAAGATGATGGAATGAATGAAACAAAATAGCCACAAAGATATAACCAAGGATTTCGTGATGTTTTAATACATGTTGATAGTAATGAAATAAGAAAACGAGGAAACAGTAAAACAGCTAATGCGATAGAACTGATAATAAGTTGTTTGTGTTCATTGATTTGATTAACGAGTTGTTGTCTATAATTAAATTTTGTTCGAGTGGTCGTTCGTTGACGTGCAATGTTTATGATGATATAAACAGCTGAGAATAAATTTATTGCACAAGGAGCAACAAAATGAAAATATTGAACAATTGTGGTATATCTTTCAACTGATTGAGAATACTGAAGTACACACCAAACACGTTGTTCTTCATGATCATCAAATAAATCACGATAGATGAGTTCATAACACATTGAACCCAAAATTATAAATGGTAAAAGGCAACATACCCATCGTGCAATACATGTACTTCTTTGTTTACTAAAATTAATACCTTGAAGGACTGATATTGCTCTTTCTATGGCCACACAAGTATTAAGCCAATTACTCATATTTAAGAAAAGACGAAGTAAAGGTTCAAATATTAAACATCCAACTCGAAGAATATTACGATTAATCAATGGATTCATATACGTATATAATACAAACAAGAATTTTATAATTAACATAGTAACAATCAGAATAGAAATAATTGATGATATTCGAAGATAAATTCCAGATCCTACTTTACGAGAATCACGATTATGGAAAACCAGATAGCTAAGAAAACCATTGATTAAACCAACGAGAAAAATAATCATGATAAATGTTGTACTTAATTTAACTACCAATGATTGATCATTTAATGTACTGTTAGGTCGAATTTCGTAACGTAATAAATCATCTAATGTTAATCCAATACCTTTAGCATAAAATTGACATCGATCACCAAAGAAACAATCATTACATAGACATATAATACTATAAAAACATATAGGTTGATCTTGTAAACATGTTCCACCATTTTCACAATAAACATTATCATCACAGATAAAACTCAGTTGTTGATCTAATGAAAAACAATTACTATGATGTTCTTCTGTGCATAAACACATATAAAATTCATCCACAAAACATTGTAGATTATAATCACGTTGACATGGAATATGATAGCTTTTCAATCGTTGAATTCGTGGTAATGATACTAATGTAGTGTTTAAAACTTCATCAACGGAAGCACATCGTCGTGCTGGATTAATCAATGTTGTTATGTTAGATTGTACGATTTCTTGAAGTACAGCCAAATAATAACGATTATCAATTTTGACAAGAAGCATTCTGAACATCTCTTGAGAGTATAAAATAACATGATCCTGAAACATAGTCATTTTTTTGAGTATAGTAAATGTTGGTATTGATCGTTCGAAACTAATTTCATTGTAGATATAGACGAGTAAGTATGATGAAATGTCAATATTCTTAAGGGAAATCTCTATTCTGTGATTGAGGTATTGACATCTTGATCCATGAAATTGTTCTGAACAAAAACATACATAACTTTCATCAATCATTCTCTCATCGATTACGACACACCGACCATTATTTTCGCAAAATCCCACGGGACACATCAGTTTAAGACGACAAAATGAACCAAATCTATTTTGAGGACAAACACATATTGACCGATTCTGAATCGAACCAGTACAGATCGAATTTGGTGCGCACATACTGCAATCGATGGGAATATGACATTGTGCACCAGACCAACCTGAGTAACATTGACAGAAGAATCGTTCTTCATTATGATATTTCATGCAAGTACCTTTATAACATTGAAGATTACAATGATTAAAATTCGATGGTCGAGATATTGGAATAGTCAAAAGAGTACTCAATCGATTAACTGGTAAAAAAATAAATGGAATTGTTAAATGCCAACTTAATAGATACGTCAATGAACTCTTGTCAAATGCGTCAATACGAATGCTATAATTTTTTGAATTATTCTTTCCTCGTGTCGTATATAACAGATAGATATCTACAGGTCGACCACAATATGTTTTTGATTCATAAGTAAATTGATGGTATGAATGAATTTCTTGTCTATCGTTATCCTCTTCCATTAACGTAACAATAATAGCATAGACAATCGGCCGATCAACTGTCGCCAGTACGAGAGTTAAACTGACACGTTGATTTTGATACTGACACTGATCACCATAATAGTTTGGTGGACAAAAACATAGATTACTGTAATTGTCGACTCCAACTCGATGATACATATGTAAACCATAATTACAGACATCTGGCTGTATGATATTTTTAATCGGCAATTCTATCGATTCGTCAGTGATCTGATTTTTAATAGAATATGTTGGAATAGTCTGTAAGGTTGGATAGACCAATACAGTCTCTAATAAAAAAGACTTATAATCTGTATTAATGATTTGACATGAAATATTCCGCATATCAATAAAATCATCAAAACTATAGCCATTGCATAATTGCAGACGGTCAACACAAAATTCATAATTATCATACGGTAGACATTCTTGGTTTTTATCGCAAAGGTTTTCATCTTCTAAATTTATACATTTCGTGTGATTCGAACAATGAAGTTTGTTCGTTTGAAAGTATTGAAATTCATCGGATGATGCTCCAAAACAATTGACGGTTTCATAGAGGACTTGGCCGGTTGGTAAACACATCTGTGTATAATTCTGTGGTGAAGAACAGAAAAAGAAATGATTTAACATAATTGGTTGAGTACAGTTTTCTTCGTCTTTTCCATCAAGACAATTTCGAAAACCATCACATCGTGTATAAATATTATTGCATAGCCAATATTCACAATCAGTCTCATCTGAATGATTTCGTCCATTAATCAACATCAAGGGCAAAGCCGCAATACGATCGCATATTTGATAAAATAAAATTTCCTCATAATTTATATCTGTTGGACGAGAGCAGATATTTGGTGAAATTAAAGGTGAATGACATTGTTTCTCATCTGGACATTGAAATCGGAGCGTTTGATTTAATAAACAACTCAATTCAAATGCTTCTTCATCATCGTTTAGAAAACAATCGTGTATACCGTCAACGATTCGATATTTAGAAATAAATTTTGAAGAGTTCTTACAATGATATAATGATGAATAGTGAACATCAATATTTTGATAACGTTGAGTGATACAACCAATAAAGTATGGTTTGACTGAATCTATGATAGATTTCCATGTAGTTAATTCGATATACAAGTCAAGGCCTGTTTGATTTCCGTGCAGGCAGGTGAGATTTTTATGACGAAATGTAGGTGTGAGAAAATCACATAATTGCTCATC